GGGGACCCCTTCCCACAAACCCCCTTCCCTGAGCAACATGTCTGGAGTGGGGGGAGTGGAGCGGGCTGGGTTGTTCTGCTTCCTGCTGCTGGTGACAGGCCCCCTGCTAATCCCCCAGGCCACCCTGGGCCTGTGGGGCCCCTCAAAGTGGCCCCCCACAGCTCCTGCCTCCCTGACCCTGCAGGTCTTGAGCGCAGCCCAGACCTTCGGCGGAGGGGGACAGGTGTTCGGGCTGCGTAGGGCACCATAATTGGTAGGGATGGTCCTGGGCTGAGAGCTTGGCCTCTCAGCTCCAGGTGCCGATTCCTAGCTGGCCCCATCCCAGCAAGAGTCCCCCCACCGCCCAGTGGTGACAGCCTGAGCTGTGGGGCTTTCTTGTCAATTTTTTGGCTCAAGCACCCAGCTGTGAAATTGAAAAGAATGACAGCCAATGTAAGTAACCCGCAGTGTCTACACAGACACTGGGTCACCCTAACTATGCTGACATAAGCTCTATGTCTCTCATGGAGGTGAAGCATTATGTTAGTGTAGTAGGGCACTTACATTGGGGAGAGCAAGGCTGTAGTGCATGTGGTCAGATGCTGGTTGTGTGTGTGTGTTTATTTAGTGTGCTGTTTTAGCTCTGCAGAGATAGCAGACCTTAATTAAACTGCCCAATAAATTCATAGACTCAGTTTTCAATGAAGGTACCCAGCCAGGTTTATTGTCGACAAAGCATGGTAATAGCACCTGGCAGACTCGACAAGGATACTAAGATATGTATGCTCGTGAGAATGGACTCAGCTCAGTTAGTGGTGGGACTTTCCACTGCTCCCTAGGCTGGCTAAAGATACTCCTTTTGAGATACATTTTTATACTTCAGTACAACCAAGTTAGTACTGCTCCTTTGACATAGTTAGTTACTGCCCCCTGACGTTGCTAGGTATTGCCCATTATTTTGCACATGTTGGGTTGATCAAAACATTTTTATTACGTACAGGCAGTCCTCAACTTTAGGACATTCGAGTTACGATGAATGCGCCACTTCTACTTTGACACCCTGATTCGACTTATGACTATAGGTTTTGAGTTTATGATGCTTGGTCCCACAATGGAGTAGATTGCGGTTCCGAGTTCCGACTTTATGACTTATGACACAATTGTAAGGAACCAATTGTGTCGTAAGTCCGAGGACTGCCTGTACTGTTATTCTGACCTTATTTTTTAGAAGTGGTGAGTGTGTTCCTGTTATCCTTGGGAAATATTTTTGTACCATCCTTGATATTTAGATGTTTTGGTACCACTTGACATCGGGATGTGTTTGCATAAGCACTCTGTGACTAGCATTTCTTAGGGATGTGTATTTCTGCAATAGTAGCCCTGTTCTTGCCAAATTCTGTGAGCAGGTCCTGCCTTATACCAGGCCTCTACTACAAGGGCTTATATCTTCCTGGTTACATTGCATACACTGACATAATTAGGTCAACGTAAGCTGCCTTATGTCAGCCTAACTCTGTAGTGTAGACCACACTGAGACAGTTCCTTGTCCTATGGCAGAACACCCATGGTAGTTCTGGAAAAGGAGGAAATGTATCCTGATGATCCATGACTTCAGTGGGAGGAGGGTGTGTGATAGTGTATTTTATGCACCAAAGAAGAAAGGGGAGTAGCAAGAGTGTGTAGGAAGCTCTAAATTAAATTAGACCATCCTCTACTTTAATTTACGCATTCTTACACCTTTGTCCAGTCTCCTAGGATGTAAATTACACTAGTTCACACTCCCTTAGACTTAGATTACTGTCTGTCTACCTAGCTATCTAATACTTAGCCCTGGTCTACACTACCAAATTACTTCGGTATAACTACGTCAGTCAGGGGTGTGGATTATTCACACCTCTGAGCAATGTAGTTATACTGATCTAAGCGCCAGTGTAGACAGCGCTATGTTGGCATGAGAGCTTCTCCTGCCAATGTAGATACTGCCTCTTGCGTAGGTGGATTAACTAAATTGACGGGCGTCTCTCTCTCTCTCTCTCTCTCATCAGCTTAGAGCACTGGCTCTCAACCTTTCCAGACTACTGTACCCCTTTCAGGAGTCTGATTTGTTTTGTGTACCCCCAAGTTTTACCTCACTTAAAAACTACTTGCTTATGAAATCAGACATAAAAATACAAAAGTGTCACAGCATGCTGTTACTGAACAATTGCTGCCTTTTTACCATATAATCATAAAATAAATCAATTGGAATATAAATATTGCACTTACGATTCAGTGTATAGTATATAGAGCAGTATAAACAAGTCATTGTCTGTATGAAATTTTAGTTTGTACTGACTTCGCTAGTGCTTTTCATATAGCCTGTTTGTAAAACTAGGCAAATATCTAGATGAGTTGATGTACCCCTGGAAGACCTCTGCATACCCACAGAGGTACGTGTACCCTGTGTTGAGAGCCCCTGGCTTACAGCGTCTTCATTAAAATGCTACCGCAATGTGGCTGCATCATGCATTTTAAGTATAGACCTGCCCTTAGATTACACTTCTTACCCTGATACCTGACTGCTGGACCCATCCACCTGAATCTGTCTCTTTGCTTGCAGAGTTTGGTTTGATTTCAATTCCTAGTTGTTATCTAAGTTAATGAGAAACAGTCTTTTGCCTGTAGTTTATCATCGCCAAGTCCCCTTCCTAGAAGATGGAAGTTGGGATCTGAGGTTTTTGGTGTCTTGTGTTGAGAAAGTTAATCATGGAACTTGAAGCTGGTGGGCAGCTGCAGATTGAGGAGCTTTATGAAGAGCGAGCGCTAGATCTTATAATGTTAACTTATGCAAATTAATATGCAGATTGGGGACATCATTCATTAATGGAAGCTCAGGAAGTTTTCATTTAAAGGGGATTAATCTAAACCCCTTGCAATCCTCCTTCAATCCTCACTCAGAACAGGCAGTTCTCAGGATTGTTTTCCTCCAAAGTTTAATGTAGACTCTTGGACAACTTTCTGAAAGGATGCACACCAAATCAAACATTCTGCTAGGCCAGGGGAGGGCAAACTATGGCCTGCGGGCTGGATCCGGCCCATCAGGGCTTTTAAGCTGGCCTGCGGGATTGCCAGCCCCATGGGGCTAAGGCAGGCTCCCTGTCTGCCCTGGCCCCACGCCACTCCCGGAAGCGGCCAGCACCACGTCCCTGCGGCCCCTGGGGTGGGGAGAGAGGGAGGGGGAAGAGGGCAGGGAGCTTGCCTTAGCCCTGCTGCATGCTCCTGCCACCCCAGAGCTGCTTGAGGTAAGCGGCGCCGGGTTGGAGCCCACACCCCGAACTCCTCCTGCACCCTGCACCCCAACCCCTTGCCCTGAGCCCCTTCCCGCATACCACAACCCCTCCCACACCACGCACTCCCTCCCGCACCCCAACCCCCTGCCCTGCATGCAATTTCCCCACCCAGATGTGGCCCTCGGGCCAAAAAGTTTGCCCACCCCCGTGCTAGGCAGTGGGGACTGAGGAAGTCTGCAAGGTCTGGGCCATGGCAGGGCCTCGGGAATGTGACTTGGTCATTTCCACTCAGGCTATCATGGCTCTAATGCAGAATAAAAAACAAAAAGGGCACAAGAAAAATTAATATTGGAGCGTTCTTAAAATGGTGCAAGAATAACATCTTTAGTATACCTGGACCACGCTTCTCGGCTCTATGATCTTTAGTATAAATCACCATCTTCTCCAAGATCCTCTCCATCAGCCCAGATGAGTGGGTTTATTTCCCCAACCAGCAGGTGGAGAGAAGAAAAACCAGATGTGCGATGGCATAACTTCCCTTATGCTAGGCATTGGCTAGCTCAAGCAGCTAAGTCATTTCCAGACCCATAGTTCCCGATGGTGCCCTAAATGGCAGCATTTAAACTCCCTTTTTTTGCTGGGCTAACTCTGAAATAGACATACAGTTAAGTGGAGTTCTGCTGCCTTTGTTTCTAAAGCCCTGGTGAAATGAATAGGATTTCAAAGAATATCTGATGAATCTTGTTACTCTGACTTGTAACTGATGTCCAATGACATTTAATAGCTGGTGGCTGGTATCAATAAATAAAAAATAAGTGGATCAATCAGCTCATTAGTAGCAACCACTAACTTGGGCTGATAGGAAAGGGTGTTACGCAGCGAGACCCCAATGCTACTGTGCCCGTGTTGAATTCTGCTCTTGGTTACGGTAGTGTAAATTTGGAGTAACTCTTAACATCAGTGGAGTTACCCTGGGTTTATACCAATGTAAAAGAGATCAGAATCTGGCCCATTATGGATTGTGCTTAAAAAAAACAAACCCTGTTGAAAGCACTGGAAAGACTCCCATTGACATGAATGGTCTCCTTGGGTCAGGTCCTTTCTTGCATAAACATAACCTGAGTTCAAAGTGCAGAAGACAGATTTACATCACTAGTATACCACAAATAGTATACCAAGCAATGTTAGCAATGTAATTACAGGTGCTCATAGGCAGATTGCTCTGTGTCTGCATTGTCTGTCATTGCGATCAGAGGTAGAAAGCCTCAGTGCTGTTCAGAGGAAATACTTCTTTGGTCTCTGCTGCTGCCTGATTGCATACTTCCAGTTCCAAATGAGGTGTGTGGTTGACTGGTCAGTTCATAACTCTGAGGTTCTAGTTAATTATGGTCCTTCCTTTGAATCAACAGGATGCTAAATGTTCTGCTGTCATGACTTGGGTGCCCTGTGCTGGATCTTTTGCCTTCAAAAAAGCTTTTACTGCTCAAACAGCAGAAATCATCACAATGATACTGGGTTGATCAGAGATAGGAGTCTCACCAGTGCTAAGGCTGCTGTTTAACTGGTTATAGCATCTGGCATAGGTGAGATCTTAGAGATTATCAGGGTGGGAGGGAAGGAAAGGGGGAAGCAAGCTCCCATTGCATTCTCATCCTCCTGGGTGACCCACCAAGGGAGCTCCTTTAGGCCCTCTTCCCTCCACCCCTGTTATTTCACTTTGAAATGCTGTTGCCCTCAGCACTGAGCAAATCCTTGTTATTTCTCTCAAGCCCTTGTTCCACCATGGGGTTCGATCAGCACGCACAGGCTGCTTTGACTATCAAAGTCTGTGGGTTTGGAGGCTCTTAATGGGGGCTCTGGGTTTGAGCTCCTCAGTGGTGGAAAGAGGCGCTGCACTGATCTGAGCTCAGAGGTGCTTTAGGAGGGCCTCACTCTCTTAATTATTAAACCTTTGTTACCTTGTGGGAGTGTTTCGAAAAAGAGACCTCTGGACTCTTGAGCTCTCCTGGAAGAGCATTCACTTGTGCATTCTCTGGAGGAAGACGCAACTGGAAGGTAATTCTAACCCCCATCCCCTGTGACAGGGTGTACAAGTCATTTAGTGCCTCCAGCAGGGTACCTCAGCCTTACCACCTCTCGTCCTAGTGATGGCCCAGCTCTGAATCAGACAGTGGTGTGGTTTTCCTGGGTGAATTCCCAGCAGGGAGAGGCTCCGTGTGTCGAGGCAGCCAAGCGTCGCTAAGCCTGCCTGGGCTCAGATCCTCGAAAGGCTGAGCTACTCTCACGAGAGGCAGAGACAAGAGTTTTGCCAGCTGGAACCCAGAACAGGGCCTGCTTGAGACAGAAGAGCTGCCATGCGTCCATTGTTTGGTGTTTACTGATTGCTAAACTGCATGAAGGGAATTTGGCCAGAGACATGGCTGGGTTCTCTGGTTTTGTTTATCTGGGCCACCCGTGAATTCTCCCTCCAGCTGCTCACACCCCACTCTTTATTGTGTTGGGGGATAAAATGTCCTCTTTTTTTTGTTTTGTTTTTTTCCCCCTAAATGGAGACCATCTCACAAAATAGGGTGGCCATTTCCTCTGTGGGATCTGCCCTCGAGTGTATTCAGGCTGATGCTGTCTTGAAGAACTCTGCCTGTTATGTTCCCTGTTTAGTGGATCATTGTTATTTCTGAGCACTTGTTCACATACCACATTATTTCCATGGCAAGTGACGGTGTGACTCTACAGCGCGCCAGCGTGCTATGCAACAACTTGCCATGTGACCACTGCCACAGTGCAATGACGGTACCAGAGTGCTGCATTCTAGGACTTTCACTGCGCTGTAGGGATGTCCACATGGTGAGGTGGTGGAAGTGTGGTGCTGTGGTGCCGGACTCACACCCAGCAGAGCTGGGCTTATTTCTCAGCTTTGTCACAGACTCCCCTTTTGACCCTGGGCAAGTCACTTAGTCACTCCATGCCTCGGTTTCCCATGTGTAAAATGGAGTTAATAGCACTTCCCTGCCTCACGGGGATATTATGAGGTTACATTAATTAATGACTATGAGGTGCATAGCTCCTATGAAGATGGGGGGGGCATATATATATCTACATAGGTTATGCATGAAACAGGATACTCTCTAACTTCCTCAGTGTAGTGACGTTACAGTGTCCCTCTGGTGTTTGTCAGAGACACATAGCTGCTCAGTGCTGTTCTTGGAACTCCGATGTCAGCTATGCTAGCAGACAGTGCAGCATATTCATTCAGCAGACCTTGATGTTTGCAAAGAAAGACCTTGGGCTCAGTTCGGTGGCGAAGGCACTCGCCCAGGTTTATTGTCAGCAAAGCACGGTACTTGTGCCCTGTCTACCGGGTCACAGGGACACTAATTCATGTATGCCTGTGACAAAGTAAAGGCTCAGTCAGGACACCAGGATCCTGTCCCCTTGGCCAACATAAAGCTGCCCCTCCTATAACTTCTCCTTTTATACCTCGATACAAACAAACATCACTCCAGATGATGTTAGTTACCACCCTTACACCTTGTACCTGCTAATTCGAGCAAAACATCCTCCTCTGTTATCTCGTCATCCCTCCTTATCTTACTGGGGTTTCGGTGTGTGCCTGCAAAATCTCTTCGGAATTTGTTTATGTAGGTACTTGAGAATTCTCGGTGTTTTTGTACCATCCTCTCCGGTCAGGAATGTGCTTACTTGGTTAGCCGATACCTGGTGTGTTACTATTCTGCCAAGGCCAGGCCCGCTTTGTTTTATAGCCTTTGGTTCATACTGCTAGTTATGCCTCGGGCTCCAGTAAGGCCTACAAAAGCCAGTTTAAGTAGATCAGTCTGTTCAGTTTATCAGAGGTGTCGAAGTGCCTTCCCAGGGAGAAAATACCAGGTATTAAAAAGCTCTTTAATCTAGCAGAGAAAGGCACAAGAAGAACCCATGGTAGGAAGCAGAAGCCAGAAAAATTCATATTAAAAATCAGGCACACATTTGTAACAGTGAGTTAACAAGCTACCAAGGGAAGTGGTGGGATTCTCCATCTCCTGATGTCTTCAAATCAAGACTGGCTATCTGGAAGATCTGCTCTAGTCAAGCATACAAGTTACTGGGCTTAATACCCCTGTGCTGATGAGATGGAGTTTCCCTCCCAACTTGACTGTTATTGAATGTGATCCAAATGTTTATAGTAGGCTACTGTCTTTACACTGAACTGGCCAGGAGTTTTGCCTGGAGGAGGAGTGCAGGATTGGGCTCTGTAAGCATACAAGCCTGTCTGGTGTCTGAACATGATTTTAAAGAATGATGAGCCAGTAATAAAGCCAAGAAATTGGAGCATTTTTCTGTCTTCAGTTGATTTGCTTTTTATTGTGAAAACCCCCGTGACTGGCATCTTCTGACATAACCATCATCAAGGAGTTCAACCAGCCACAAAGATGCTGAGCCTGTTATTTTACCATAGGCTCCATCAGACACTATAGGAAGGAAATGAGTAACTAACAGTGAATGATCTAAGATGAGCTTTGGGATACCACAGTAATGAGGGGCTTTGCCTTAGCCAAAAGGTGGGCTGGGGGCTATGGTCTATCTGAATCTTCCCCCGGAAGGGTAGAGAACAGCCTGCAAATGTTGGGAACTCATTAAGAAATGAGTGAGTGAAAGTAACGGGCAGTGTTTGAAATCTACAATGAACCTGAAGTTAGCCAGCAGACGTTCAGCCCTCGCAGGGGTTTGATGGGGTTGTAGGGAACATTAGGGGGATGAGGGGAGCTGGGAGCCATCAGGTTGTCTGACTGTTAACCCCCCAAATGGCAGAAGTCTGAAAATAAAGGAAATACAAATGCTATGGTGCTGTCTCAGACTGCTGGGGAAGGGTGTGCACTGCAGATGTGGGTAGCATAGTGGATTTACCTGTGCTGGGAAGCCAGATTTCCATACTGTGGGCCAAATCCAGAGCTTCTTAGTTAGCTCCTACTCCAGGCACACACTCATTGGCTTCCATGGGAGTTTTGCCCGAGTAAGGCTGAGTCCTGTATTGGGTTCACAGCTTGCTAGCTCACCACTTTCCAATTGAAAGCCCCACCTCTTGCTGGCTGAGTAGTTAACTATTCCTTCCCCTCATTACAGGACATGGCTGGCTGGCTGACTGACTGCTAAGAGACAGCGTGGGCCAGACATGACCTCCGCTCTCAAGGCCCTGCCCAACATCCATAGAGCCTGCATGATCCCAGCCTATCGGGGCCAAGTATCTCACCCGCGCAGTATGTCTCTCTGGGAGCACGGGCTGCACCTCTTCCGCAGCGCCGTGGGTGTCGTCCTGCCGGCCCCCATGCTGAGAAGGGCCCTGGTGCTCAAAACAGATGGCTGCCCCAGGCTGGTCGTGAGGGACCGGGTTTTCCCTGTGAGGAGGAACCTGTATCTGGTGGGCTTCGGGAAGGCTGTGCTGGGAATGGCAGCCGAGGCAGAGGAGATCCTCGGGGACCACCTAATTCAGGGGGTTGTCAGCGTCCCCCATGGCATCCGGGCATGCCTGCAGCAGGCGGGAATGGAGTAAGACTGATAATGCCCGGATATTCTGGTGGGAGGGTGCAGAGAAGGGTGGGGGACAGGCAAATACGAAGACCCAGGCTCCTGCAGAAATGTCTGCCTGCCATATATTTTCCCCTTCGGGTCACTGCTGAATCCCTCTTGGATCCTCTCCACCTTTCCCAACTTTAACCCTTGACCATGGGTGCAAGACTCATGGCTCAGCTTGACTGGTCTCCATCCCTCTTTGTGGGCCATCAGATCTGTCCTTGGGGCTGTGTGTGCTGCCTCCATAGTGTACCCGACCCCATGGGGGAGAGACCAGGATCAGCAAAGGAACCTGGATAAACCTCAGTCACAGGGCCCTCTCTTGTCCCCCAAATCCCTCTTGTGGGAGTGGGGCTGCCAAGCGGGCTCTGGATAGGTGTATGTTTCAGTGGCCTGATCATCTTTCTAACCCCTGCAGGGAGATGTTGCTGAAGCCTCACAGCAGGATCCAGGTCATAGAAGGAGCTAAGCACAACCTCCCTGACAGAGAGGCTCTGAGGGCAGCCAGCATGATTCGGGAGCTAGCTGAAGGCCTGACAGCTGACGACCTCCTCCTTGTGCTGATCTCAGGTAATGTCTGGAACCCCAGGAGCGGGGAGTGAGTTCTTGTGGGACCCTGTTGCTGCCATCAGTTGTTGCCCTCCCTTCTTCTGCCCCATCTTTCCTCCCTTTATCTCTTCCCTATCCTGGCTTCTTCCTTTCCTCGTGCATGCAGGAAACAGATCCAGAATCATGCCTGGCAAACTAGGTCAAGTTGCCTGTTACAAAAGAAGATGAGGAAAGGCGTAAAGTGGGTCAAAGCTGTTCCCATTGCGACTCCCACACTGGTGGCAGCTCACTGCATTCATTCACATTTCAGTACCTGGTCTTCTGGCAGCAGCTGTGAGTTGGCAGCAGCTTGGGCCCCGGGCAGACACACTTCTCTCGAATCACACCTCTCAGAGGAACTTGTCACAAGGATTTCACTATTGATTCCTTGGTCTAGAATCTCCCTCCTCCACCAGCTGTTGCTTTGTGCCCTCCCAGGCAAGAGGTGGCTGCATTCCAGCAGGGCTGTGTGTGAAGAGTCGAATGCGTTCTGGGATGGGAGATGCTATATTATTCATTAGAGTGTTGACACACCAAGTATTGGGGCCAGCCAGTTGTGTTGCTGTTTCTCTCCCTCCGCCCACAGGCCTTGCCCTGTGGTTCGCTGCTGTCGTGCCTGCAATATCAATCCACAGTACATGCAGTTTGAAGCAGCAAGGCACCGTGTTGCCAGGTGGTGGTGCCAGGCAATCAGAAAGCACTGCTCTGCAAATATAAGCCCATCCCAAGGCGAAGCACTGAGGAGAGGCTGCCTGAGCTGTATGGAGGTCTGGATCCTGGGGCCCAAGTCTACTCTGAGTTACATCGGGTTGACACCATGAAGTCAGTGTAACCAGTGTCTTGTATTTCCATGTTTGTATTTGTAAAGACAGACTCTCCTGGGTCATCTGATCACACAGCCATGTAGATGCTTTCTTCCCTCAGAATGGGAGGTGCCCCGTGCTTAAATTTGGGCACGTAGGCTAGGGCAGTGGTTCTCAACCAGGGGTACACAGAGGTCTTCCAAGGGGTACATCAATTCATCTGGATATTTGCCTAGTTTTACAACAGGCTATGTTAAAAGCATTAGCAAAGTCAGTACAAACTAAAATGTCATGCAGACAATGACTTGTTTATACTGCTCTATATACTATACACTGAAATGTAAGTACAATATTTATATTCCAATTGATTTATTTTATAGTTATACGGTAAAAATGAGAGTTGCAATTTTTCAGTACTAGTGTGCTGTGACACTTTTTTGTATTTTTATGTCTGATTTGATAAGCAAGCACCTTTTAAGTGAGGTAAAATTTTGGGGTACACAAGACAAATAAGACTCCTGAAAGGGGTACAGTAGTCTGGAAAGGTTGAGCCACTGGGCTAGGACAGCAGAGCTCAGAACTGCAGGTATAGGAAATGCAGGTGCTTGGGCATCAATGCACAGGTTGTAATGGAGGACTAACTTAGGTACCCAAGTTGGAAAAATGAGGCCCCATCTGAGACTCAGAGTCACTGAGGGACTGATCCTGCCAGGGGCCAAATAGCATGGCTGAGGTGCTCTGCATTCTCACCCAGCCACCCCTCTCCCGAAATCAAAAGGAGTCACTCAGTGCCAAGTAAGAGGTGCTCTGCACCTTGTAGGGATCAGCCCCTAAGCACATGCATTTGAAACCCGCAGACTCCTCCAGGAGCAATTACCCCTTTTAGTGCCTTATTCCCCCATTCCCAGATGGGGGGCACACATTGAGGGGATGTGCTCTGCTTTGGGCGCATAAGCAATGCGGCAGTGCACTTGTGGCGTTTATTTGATTGGGTGGATATCCAACTATAGACATGCCCCTGTGAGTAGGTGTCTCCAGTTGTGCAGCTCAGTGTTAAAGAAACAAATGCACTTGGAGCTGCTCTTTAGGGATTTTGGGGGGTTCTTGATTGTGCTCCTCATCTGAGCGAGATCTAGCTCGAGATCCTCAGCTGCCTAGCTCAGCTCAGCTGGCTGCAGTCTATTCTGCCATGGTTCAGAGAGAATTTTGCAGGATTATCCAGACACGGATATAATTGGATTTGAATCATGTCTGGTGGGGATTCCCTTGAGTTTCCTCTTGTCCTTTGGCTACTGATATCTTCAAGAGACTCCTAGGCCATCCCAGGATTTGCTGTCAGCAGCAGTTCCCAAAGCATGCAATGCATACCTCCACACAGCCCACTCTGGCTGCTCCTGCCTCGCAGCCAGATCCCTACTGATTGACTGAAACTCAGGCACTTTCATTTGTTTTTCTTGTTCATCATATTTTATTGATGGTGCTTTTTCTCAAACCTCAGAGCAGGCTTTGCCCTTTTATGGTAGTTTTCTGATATACTTCTATACATACTCACCCTCTATTTTATCCATCTATTTCCCCCCCCTCCTTTTTCACTGCATTTCAAGGGCCCAATCATGCTGTCAGTTGTGCTCCGCCACTCCCATTGATCAGATCACTAATGCACCCATCACCATAGTATCCAGCCTCATTTTGTTTCCCCTCTCTCTCAATAAGCTTTTTGCTGTAGTGCTGTTCTGTATTTAGGTTTAGACATTGCTATATTTTTTTAAATGCCGCTCATTATGAATGAGGTCAGTGAAATACTGAAGCCAGAAGTGTCTCTTTTGCCCTGCAGCTAAACACTGAGTGAGCCATGGAGTCTGCAGTCCCTCCTCTCTTAGACTAGCAGTCACTGAAGTCAGATTTGAGGCACATTCGCAGGGAAGTGTAGTGAGAACAATAGCACCTGGGCCTGTTTCTGCCCCACCTTGCACCCCACATTCTCATTTATGCCAGGCAAAGTAGGTGTAAAATGCAGGCACCGTTGTGAGTGAGCTCACTGAGCACAAGTGTAACTGACTGCCATGGAGATCCAGTCCTGCTCTGTGGAGAAACAGAAGACATCAGTCTCCAGGGCTATTAGTCTGGCATCTTTCACCAGCACTAAATTCCCTTACAACAAAATGGTGAGGGAAGAGAAGAAGGAAAACTCCAGCTGTAAGATGCCCTTGCTTAGCCCCTTATGTGTGAGAGGCCAGCATTTCAGTGCTGGGGGGTTCCTCCCACCCTGCTACACACGTGCATTCACTTACTGCGGTTTCTCCTGCATTATAGGAGGTGGATCAGCCCTACTGCCTGCTCCTACTCCTCCGATCCTCTTGGAGGAGAAAGAGAAGGTCACCAAGCTTCTGGCTTCCAGAGGCGCTACCATACAGGAGCTCAACACCATCCGGAAGGCCCTTTCCTTGTTGAAAGGTGGAGGGTTGGCCCGGGCTGCATATCCTGCACAGGTGAGTGTGGAAGACTTCGTACTTGCCCATAGCTTCTGCTCTAAGGCAGTTTTAAAGAAACACCATGAGATTAAAAGTCATGGTCAAAACAGACCTCAGTAGAAATGACCTGATGTTTAGATCAGTGGTTCTCAACCAGGGGTATGCAGAGGTCTTCCAATGGGTACATCAACTCATCTAGATATTTGCCTAGTTGTACAACAGGCTACATTAAAAGCACTAGTGAAATCAGTACAAATAAAAATTTCATGACAGACAATGACTTGTTTGTACTGCTCCATATTCTATACACTGAAATCTAAGCACAATATTCATATTCCAATAATATGATTAAAAATGGGAGAGTCAGTAAGTTTTCAGTAGTAGTGTGCTGTGACACTTATATTTTTATGTCTGATTGTGTAAGCAAGTAGCTTTTAAGTGAGGTGAAACTTGGGGGTACGCAACAAAAGTCAGACTCCTGAAAGGGGTACAGTAGTCTGGAAAGGTTGAGAATGACTGGTTCAGATGACTTCAGGTCCCAATGAATTCAGTGGGAATCAGCATCTGTGGTAATCACACTGCTTCTATTTAGCTGCCTGAATATGCAGTTAGGAATCAGCCATAGGATTCAAAGATTTGGTCCATATTTACAAAAACCAAAAAAAATCATTACTTATCTTTTTCAATAGCACATGAGATTATTAACACAGTTGTGTTTGTGTTTTGTTTTTTTCAATCTGGTCACTGCATTTCTTTTGGTTTAGGGAATGAAAATTGGCTGGTCAGTTTCCTTTTACATTCTAGTGAGTGTCACTTTCTGGCTCTCTGGCACAATGCTGCAATGATTATTTGGGTTGAAAGCAGTACAGGCCAGCTTTCTTCTTTTTAAGAAAAACAATAACATTGTTAGTTTGTAGCAGAACAATAGTGGAAATGTTTCTATTTAATTTAGGTTTCATTCATCTTTTCAAAACCTACATTTTGGGCCAAATTTGTCCCCTTTAAACTGTCCAATGAATGTGTGCATAGATTGAAATGAGAGCACTGGCCATGCTAATGACTGTAGCCCCCAGTTAATGTGCACATGCAGAATGCTGACTCCCCACCACAATCTGGACAGATCAGCGTTGTGGTCTGAAGGAAATTCAGACTGATTATTTGTTCAACAGCAGCCTTTCCCTCACTACTCCACCACTATTATCTGATGGGGCCACTTCTTAAAATTTTTTTAAATTAAATTAATGGAGATATCCTATCCTATCCCTCCCTCTTAGCTGGAGTAAGTGGGCTGGAGCCTCCGCTGAAGTAAATCAGCAAATGCAGTCATCCACAGAGCTGTATGGATTTACACTAGCAGAGGATCTGGCCTCGTATTTTACTTCTGGGCTTTCTCACTGTATTTATCAATGGAGCTCCAATTCAATCTATACCAGGTTAGGAGCCAGAGAAGAGTCACCTAAAAACATGCTACTCTTTCCTATATTATAGTCCAACATTAAATGTCATTTTGATTCCATGGGTTAGAGCCCTGAGAGCTCTTATTGCGGGGGAGGGATAGCTCAGTGGTTTGAGCATTGGCCTGCTAAACCCAGGGTTGTGAGTTCAATCCTTGAGGGGGCCACTTAGGGATCTGGGGCAAAATCAGTACTTGGTCCTGCTAGTGAAGGGAGGGGGCTGGACTTGATGACCTTTCAAGGTCCCTTTTAGTTCTATGAGATATGGAGATATACCTATGTTATACTATTATCTTAAAACAGAATGGGCCACATTTGCCATCATTTGCACCCATGCATCTCCATTGAGATCAGCTGGATTGCACAAGTGTAACTGAATGCAGAACTTGGTCTGATCACTCTTGCATAGGGTGACCAGATCACCCAGGTCAAATATCAGGACGCGGGGGAGGGGAAGGCAGGGCATGGCACGGCACAGGGGGGGCAAAAAAAAAAAAGTGGCAGAGCTAAATAAATAAACCAACACCCCCCACACACACACGCGCGCGCTGGAGGGAGGCCCCAGAGATGCAGGGGGAGCGCGGGGCCGGGGTGAGTGAGAGTCCAGCCTGGCCCCGAGCGCAGGCAGGACTCAGTCGGGCAGTACCTGGAGGGAGAGGAGGGGGGTGGCCCGCAGGGCCAGGCAGCGGCTGTTCTCCCCACCTGGGCAGCGGGACTCGGGAGCAGCCACTGCTGCAGCTCCCACTGCCGCGGGGGGAGGAAGCAGCCGATGGCCAAGCTCGGCGGCTGCGGCTCTGGCGCCTGGGCCCAAACCCCCCGAGCCCGGGCCTGTTGCGGGGACCTAGCAGCTTGCACGCTGTGCCCAGCCCCTGGCCAGTCGCGTCTGGGCTGGATGCCCAGCTGGTGCAATCCCGTGGGCAGCCCTGGGGCGGAAGCATCGGCAGCCCAGCCCCCTTCGTTCCCCTGTGGGACCCGAGCGGGACAGGGGGGCTGGGGCCTGCTGCCCCCACTCCGGGGCCGCCCGCGGGATTGCGCCAGCTGGGCAGCCAGCCCAGACTCGACTGGCCAGGGGCTGGGCACGTGCAGCGTGTGCGCTGCTGGGTCCCTGCAGCAGGCCCGGGCGCCAGAGCCGCAGCCGCCGAGCGCCATGGCCGCTTCCTCTCCCAGCGGCAGTGGGAGCTGCAGCAGTGGCTGCTCCCGAGTCCCGCTGCCCAGGGGGGAGAGAACAGCCGCCGCCTGGCCCCACAGGCTGCCCCCCTCCTCTCCCTCCAGTACCCCCTGACTGAGTCCTGCCTGCGCTCGGGGCCAGGCCAGACTCTCACTCACCCCAGCCCTGCGCTCCCCCTGCGTCTCCGGGGCCTCCCTCCAGCACTTGTGGAGGGAGGAGGAATGGTGAGCCTGGGGAAGAGGCGGGGATTTGGGGAGGGAGCCAATGGGGGAAAGAGGGGGCGGAGTTGGGGAGGGGGCACAAGCACTTCCGGGCTCCGAAGCATTTGCTTGTTTGTCCGGTGTCCCGACCTAACATTGGTCGGGACGTGGGACAAACAAGCAAATATCAGGACAGTTCCGATAAAATCGAGGCGTCTGGTCACCCTACTCTTGCATGTCAGTGAGTCTCAGCAGCAGGCGCTGCATTTATCTGTCATCCTTTCTGCTTCTAGGTGCTAAGCCTCATCCTCTCTGATGTCATTGGCAACCCAGTGGACATTATTGCGAGTGGCCCCACTGTCTACAGTTCCCCCAGTGCTCAAGGCTGCCTTCAGATAATGACAAAATACAATCTGATGAGCACCTTGCCCAGATCTGTGAAAACAGTGCTGTCCAGCTCCGTCTCAGATCCCAGTGGTCCGAAAGACTATTCCCACGTCTACAATGTTGTCATTGGTTCAAACAGTTTAGCTTTAGAGGAGGCCAAACGCCAAGCAGAGGATTTGGGCTACTGGACCCTGATTTTGAGTGCAGGGGTGTGTGGGGAGGTCAGCAGAGTAGCCAAACTCTACAGCCAGATGATTCAGTTTGTTTGCTTGAGCACAGCTGGACTTGGAGAAGGTCCTCTAAGAGACCAGGTGAGAGGACATCTTCTAAAGCTGGCAGCAGAGCTAGAGATCCCAGGTTTGAACCTTGTGGATTCTTTGAAGGCTTTGCAAGGATTGGAGTCTGAAAGATCGATTTGCCTGCTGGCTGGTGGAGAGACCACTGTCCAGCTTCAAGGAAATGGGAAGGGTGGGAGGAACCAGGAGTTGGCCTTACAGGTGGCATTGGAGTTACACCGAGCTAAGGCCACTGGGGCTGGCTACTACCTTGGGAAATGTGAAGTCCTGTTCCTCAGTGGTGGGACTGATGGACAAGATGGGCCAACAGAGGCAGCTGGTGCCTTCTCTAGCCAGGAGCTGGTGGATAAGGCTGCTCAGGAAGGTCTTGATGTGGAGACATTTCTGAGCAACAATGACTCCTACACATTCTTCAGTAAGTTCCAAAATGGACATCACCTTTTGCTGACTGGTTTAACAGGCACCAATGTCATGGACATCCAGGCTATTTTAATTAGGGCTAGAGACAGATAAGGAGAGCACCTCTGCGAACTCCTGTTTTTAATTAGAGGCATTGGTGAAAAATGAGGGTACCAATGTTCTGGAGAAATCCAGACTGCTTAAATTAGGGACAGCTGCCGAGGGCACTAATATCATGGCTGTAAAAGCTACATTAGTAAGGCACATGGGTGGGTAACCATGCCTATGTTCAATCTGTTAATTAGGATCAGAGTAAGGTAAGATAACACCAGCATTATGGGCATTGGGGCTGCATTAACACCTTCCTGCTGAAGAGCCAGTAACATACTGCATTTTGGTTGCAAGTGGGGTTGTTGGACATCTGACACCCAGCCTGAAGCTCTAGGTTGCCGTTGTGACTCTCATTACATACAAAGCTAACAAGGTATATTAGACTAGTCCATAGGGCCCTAAATCCAGTGCACTGCAAGTTCAGTGGAGATTAGCACATGGCGTCAGTTTAACCTTTGGTCTTGGATACATGGCGAAAACACCCCCAGCTGTGGCATTAACACCATGTTAGGTGAAGAACGGTGTGAACCATGATTCAGATGCACTAGTGCAGAAACCATCTGAACGTGAGACCTTCTCCCCCACTATGTAACCTTCTCTGCCCTGGTGTGGTGACATTTCCACCCCATGGTTGGTATTTCGTGTGTGTGTGTGTGTGTGTGTGTGTGTGTGTGTGTGTGTGTGTGTGTGTGTGTGTGTGTGTGTGTGTGTGTGTGTGT